TCATGTCATGTGTTGCATATTTGTGGTTTTACCATACTTACATAAGTAAAGCCAAGGTGTTTTACCGTAAATGTCATTCTGACATACTTTGGGTCTTCAGTGAAGCGTATGGGCACGGGGTCTTTGTTGCTGAGTGGTAGGAAGTCAAACAGCTGTCTCATTTCGTAGAGAGCATGCATGTCGTTCTCAAACGCTCTGTGTGCCACTCCTGAAACAAGGGAGTGCAATAGTGCTACAGTCACATATGACTGTACTAAGTTTAACAGTACACAGGAGCAAGCACACTTTGTTGGTTCCTCGTACCTACAGGTTAAAATCTCATATAGGCATAAGTGCAAAAGTACATATGTGCAAGTGCTTAACAAGGCCATATATACCTACTCCATGGCCTTGCTTGCTCAGTATTGTATTCAATACACAAACAAGATTTCTGTGAAAGATTTCTCCCGTTATACCTGATTTCTTGGTGTGGACCATGGCACCTCCCAACTCCAACTCTGTCACTTTCTCCATTGTCACTTCCTACGTACAACCAGGATATATACACGTGTGGGAAATAAAGTCTCACGCAACAAAGTTATGAGTCACATAATACAACATGTCCAAGTGAAATTCATGTGTTTAAGTAGATAATTAACTGACAGCTCATGCTTACGTAGAAAGAAAATAGATAGGGTTTAAAGTACGTAGATGCATGGAGTGTGGGTGGGCTGCTCACCTCGACTACCTTTGGTCCAGTCACAAACATGTAGGAGGTGTTCTAAAGTGAAAGAGTTGCCCGGTTGGGTGGTAGATAATAGACGGAAGTAAAATGGTGGGTGTGGTTTACATACCTTCACCATGAAGGTGAAGTCAGTCATGGCTGGAGAGTAGACAGCTCCACCTGAGGTCAGAGTACAATTCAAACCCTGGACCTTAGGCCTATCAGTACAATACCACCCTACCCTCTAAATTAGTCGCACTAACGTGCAGGGTAGCCTAAAATGTTCATTGTAATATTGTGTATTATGCATGGAATTACACGCAAAATTTAGGCCCCTAAGAGTTTATTGAGGTGATGCCAATGTAGGAAATGAAAGTGAAAGTGTGGCTGACCGGCACAAGGACCCATGACGAGGGAGAGCTGGGGAATCACGCCTGAGAACATGACATTCCTCTGAGGAAAAAAGCACAGTGCTAAATCGCAGACATACTATTCTCTTTTACTCCACAGAAATTATGGGAGTTCAGTCCATTTACCCAATATCAATGCTCCCTAACTGTGTGCATAAGCTCCAACATGCACTAGCAAAGGTCTTCAAATAACGCTCTAAAAAGTGCTATATATGTACTCCATATTTTCACCACAGAAAATGGCTAGCTTTCTAAAATCTCACCAGGAAGATGTCAGCATATCCGGCGAGGGAATCCACACCCTCTTGGATCCTAGCTCCACCAGAGTCATTGAGACCTATCACTGGAGCCCCTACCTCTGCCGCCCTGTCCATTATCTATATGGTGGATAATATCATACTGTTTCAGGGATACATCAGCCAATGTGGCCATAGTTTCAGTTATAATATGCAAACAATGAGGCAAAATGGAAAAAAACGTAGGTATATGTGTGTAAATTGTCATACTGACAGCAGCTGATTCTTGCACACTTTTGTATTTAACCATTGGCTATTGGCCATTTTGCTAACATAATGAGAATCCCTGCCACCACTGAGATAGGCGATTCTGGTTGTCTGCAAACCCACCTTGCAGATTTTCTTTGCATGCATGCTGGATAAGCTCCCGCCAAAGACAGTGAAGTCCTGTGGAGGGAAGGAAAAAATTATGTGGCCTAACTACCTACGTAGGTACAGTGGAACCCCTCTCTACGACACTGCTGAAAAGAGGACACCTCAAAGAATTCTAGGGCACTATTCTCTTTCCCCAGGGACAGTATTCAAAGGACACCACACTAATAATGAACACTTTCTTCTGTCCCATTGTCCTGATAAGGGGTCCACTGAAGGTTTTTTAAAAAGCATGAAATTTTTTCAGAAGGAGGAAGTGCGGCTCACTTGACTGAAAAAGAAAACCGGTCTGCCATTGATGGTCCCATGTCCTGTCACCACTCCATCGCCTGGAATCTGAGGGAGCCAATGAATATCATTGGATAAAAACAATTACAGTGAAATAATGACACACCTCTACAAAGGACACTGGCTTTGCCCCAGCATAATATTACAGGAGTGTATTTTGGATGCTTCCAAATAAATAAAGGATTATTTCGATGCCCCCAAGGGTCCCTTGTTCAGTAGGGACCTTGTTTTTTGGACTGTCCATCCCGAAGTCAGTACAGGTGTGCTCGACAAAGGCATCGTACTCTCTGAACGAACCAGGGTCGAGAAGAAGTCCCACACGCTCCCTCGAAGTCAGTCGTCCCTATGGAGAATTGGGCGGAGAGTCGTTTGCAAATGATTCGGCATGGATCTCACTAGATGTATGTACACGTGGTTTAAGCTAAAGCAGGAACGAAAGGGGATGCTCCTTTCATTGTCCCCCCTAATTCTTCACGGGTGTTTGGGGATACATATGTGGAAAACAGTGAGTCAGCCCCCCTCCTTCAATTGCATGCTGGCTAGAACGCTGCCTACACTTTTGTGTTGCTTCTCCAGTCTTTTTTCCCCGCCTCCAAGCACTGCTCGACGTCTTTTCTCCTCAACCACGGGCAACTGGGAGCCCCTGGGGCAGTAGAAACGCCGTGCCCGCCACGCGAGAGCTGCGCGGGGCGGCTGACGAAAGGAAATCCCTGCAAACAGACGTCCAGCGATGCTCAGGGAGCTCATGATCGGCCTTCTGTACTGCAGCTTTCCGGATTCCGGGGTTCAAAAGTGCATGCCAGAGGTCAAAGTCGTAGTAGTGACGTTGACGTTTTAACCCTCTTCCAACCATATTATTCACAGACGGTCGAGGAGACGAAGAAAAGAACGAAGGTTCGGCGCTATGCCGCTCCCCAAGAGCTGCAGCATGGCCGCGAGGGCGACCGAAGCCTACGCAGAAGCGTGGAGCGTCGTCCTGTATGAGTGTTGGGGAGTGAAACCTCCTCGGGACGAGCCGCTACCACCTCTTGTCCAACTACTCCCCTTCATTCGCCAGCTACTGACCTGCTGCGCATGCGCCGGTCTCCTGGAAGAAGCAATGATCTCTCTGTCGTGCGGTCATTGCTACTGCGCCAAGTGCCAACTGGGGACTCCTCTGCTCAAGATACAGTGTCGGCAGTGTAAGGAGCGAACGGGGCTAGTATCAGAAAACCAAATCAGACTGGTAGTCAAATGCTATCGCCACATGTGCCACGTGTTAGCCGACTACATTGCTGGCAATCCATCGGCCAAGCTACACAAGGGAGAGTTTGTGTTGGCCAAAGGCAAGGAGATTCCGGTTGGATTTAACCCCGTGACTGAAATCCTATCCGAGGTTGTAAATGGGGTTAAGGTTTCGCGGACTGTGCTTTTCGTTCTTCCACCGCAAAAATACCTTAACCCCAAACCTCCTCCCGACCCACCCACCCTCAAAAAAGAGCAAACTCCGTCTTCAGTTGGCAACCATACACAATCCCTCCCTGGCCCCAGTTCTGCATCCATAGTAGAGAATAATACTCTGTCGCAGGACGAAGAGGGACCTATTGATGTGACAGGAACCGCGCCTTCTCCCCTCCTCAGCAGATCCGCACGACAATCTCACACTAAAGGGAAGAGAAGGGATGGAGAGGCAGTGGAGGATGTAAAGGGAAAGAGCAGATTGGGACATTCCAACCAGGCAACTCTCCCGCTGTCAAGAAAGTGGAAGAGAGCCAAAATCGTCCAAATTCCATCAGTCATGTTCCACGGTAGTGTCGATTTCGTATCTTCACGGCCTGCATCCCACAGAGGTGCAATGAAGCTTTTCTTCTCTCTGAAACTCCTCCGATTGAAGCAAGCAACTCTGCCCCGCGCAGAGGACACTCCGGAGGTCACAGATGATTGCATCGACCACCAGTTCATTTCCTCAACCAGCTTTGTCTACACTCTTAGTCAAGATCTCCCGTCCGCCGCCCTTCTCCCTCCTCCCCACCGTCCGCACTCCTCCTGTCTCCCAAACTTTGCTCAGGTTCTGAGACCAAAGCTACCGGACCCCACGAAACTGCCGACAACCGGAAAGAAAACCCCACGGGGGGTCCCTCTCCGCTCGCGAACAGCACTAACACCGAGAGCAAAGTACAAGCTTCTGCGACGGAAATACAAGTCTCCATATCTTAGTAACCCACACACCAGTCAACCACGGAAGACGAAACACTCTGCACACGATGACACGCCCCCACCAGCAAAACTATCCATGGCACCATGCAGTTCGGAGGATCTGTCCCCCACCGTCCCAACCCCCGTCAAAAAGAAAAAGCGGTCCCCCATGACCCCCGGAAACTGGAGGTGTCGCTGTGGAACGAATAACCCGCAGACTTTCGATCGGATATGTGCCCGTGGAAAGTGTCCGTGCTTTGTGAAAAGCATTTCTTGCAAGAACTGTCTGTGTCGGCACTGCAAAAACCCCTTCAACATTTCACTTGGACTGTAGAACCCCTCCACCCCTTGAAGACTGATTTTTTTCTTTTTTCATTTCCCAAATTTGATTCTTGATTTTTTCACAGCATTGAAAGAATGACATGACTAATGATTGATGTTAAGTGGTTAAACAATTGACAGCGAAATATTATATGTATGCTACAATCCAGCAGTTAGTCAGGTTGTGGCACTTATGATTAGCCACCACGATTAATTGTGCAGAAGAAATGAGAAGAGTTGCTTGCTATTTCTGTCTTCTGAGCTGAGATGGCAGTAGTCCACCAGTGCCGAGACCAGTTGACCCACTTTCCACTGCTTGGCTCGGATGTGAGCTATCACATTCACCAGCTACATCGTGAAATGAAAATCACTCTGAAGTGCAAACCCTCGGTGCACTGGAAACTTCAAACCGATACAAACGTGTGGCACCGCAAATTTATGGGCCGGGCTATGCATTGTGGATTTATTCGATTTACTCCCTAGTTAATGAAAGCACTTTAATGAGTAGGTGAGATATACACACCAAAATATAGGACAATTTGAACAAGTTACGTTGATGCTTCTTAATACTAACTAGCCATGCAGAAAAAAAACTGAAGGTCAAGGGGGAGGCTATTTTCAAACTATCCATGGATTGTTTGTTTACCACATAAATTTTAAGGTTGAAAAAAATATATATATATTGGGCCAGCCCTCCATCTCTCCAGACAGACGTCTACGGACGCAGTGCTATGCCGAACTGTACGCTGCCCTTTGAGAAACATGGGTCAGTGGTAGATTCATGGGTAAGGGGAGGAACCAGAGCTGTTCCCAGCCAATGCTCTGGACCACCTGACACTTTAGTGCGGGATCGAGATTCGAACCGGGCACCTATGGTGTCAGTCCCCACGTCTCTAACCACTTAGCCACTCGGGCTGGCCACGAGAGCTGATGAAAAAACGTTCCTCTTATATCAACACTCGTATTACATCATTATAAAAAACACCACACAAACAGGGATCGAACCCGGGACCTCACGATCAAGTGGGTGAGTCCTTAACCATCAGACCACACCCAACACTTGTGTGGGGAAGGCTTAATACTGCATACTATCATAATAATGGAGACAATTAAAGAAGTGGAGTGTCCAAATTAATGAATTGTACACATGCACTGGATTGAAACAAGTGCCTCTGTCATAAGGCATCCTATTCAAAGTGTGTATTACAAGCATTTTCAATGTCACAAATAGGCAGCAAATAAGTCAAGCAGCTAACGAAATTTCACTGGCATGTGTAGGCCAACTTTAGTAGTGGCTATATAATATACTAGAAGGTTTTTAGAACCAACCTCTTTCATTCTCTGGTCTTGGCTAGGGAAGTAGATCATCTCAGAGCGACCAGAGGCCGACACAGCTGCCCACTGCAACATTGACTTCAGCTGGGGATCTCCCCCCAACTTGCCACACCCCCAGTTGCCAGTGGCAACCTTTCTCAGTAGAGCTGCAGTGTTGTGTGTTAGAGGAAATGTTGCAGCATAATATATTTAGAAATGTTAAGATAGAACAAAACCATAGGGGCACGGTGAAAGAATGCAATTGAGTTCCATTTTTAGTAACATTTCTAAAGCCCTTAGCCCTTATACTGCCACGTTCTTTTCAAGTATGGATGTGTAAACTATACGAGGTAGAAAGGCACAAGGCACAACAAACAAGTGAACTATACACCCAGGACAGCTCAGAAGAGCTGCCCTAGGTGGGATTCGAACCGACGACATTCTGCTGCCTAGGCGAGAGCTCTAGGTAAGGATGGATGTTTAGTGGGTAACAGACCTTGATCAACAGCAGTTGACCTCAACTGGAACCCTCCCTCTCCCTCCTCCACATCTCCGCTGACAGGCTCGGCTTCACTCAGATTGCTGAGGAAGGTGTCCAGTCTGGAAGGCGTTAACGTGTGACTCTCTCCCTCCACCTCTCCGAGGGAGGGTGGGAGGCGGACCGACGGGACCGACATTCTCAAATCGCCACTCGCGACAGAGAGGGACTCACGGGAACTGTGGTAAGACTTCACTGGGACATGACACATGTACTACAGGGTGAGAGAGGGACACATACACAGCATGTAAAAACATGAAGTTGTGTGGGAAATCTTTGAGGGAGAGATCTTTGCTGTTTGTTGACCACTCGCAAAGAAATCTCTAAATTTTTGTGAGCGGGACATTTGAACTAAGGTTTGCCCACCAGTCATGAGGATTAGGGAGAAACCTTTTCTATTTGTTGACCACCAGCAAAATTATCTCTGTATAAACGTTTTTGTGAGGGGAACTTTTGAATCAACCCACGAAAGGTTCGTCCACCAGGGGTAAGGGTATATGATTGCTAGGAGGCTACTCATAAAAGGCATAAGGGTTAGGGGGCTATGTATATAGGTTGAAGTGAGCAATTTAACCCTTTGGACGCCATGGGTATCTCCAAGCAGTAATTGATGTATAAAGTATTAGTAGTACTACATAAATTCTTATGGACTTATGGAGGCTCTGGACACATTTATGTGTCTGTGGCTGGTTAAGTGTTAAGCGATAAGGACACACACCTGTGCCAGTTACATATTACCACTCACTTTGCATTACGTATGCATGCCCACAAGGAGAGGAATGTGACTTACTGTGTGCCTTTGCAGTACTACACTCAACAGTTACCTTCTTGTTGCCCGTGACTTGTGCGATGGCTCCACGGATGACCAGCTCGGCAAACATGCTACAGTATTCCTCGATGTTGCACACAAAGCTGAGTGCCAGGCGGTCCAGATCACTCGGTGACACGGGTCGCGAACCCTCGTCCCTCGTCGAGGCAACGGACCAAGCATAGCTCATGCGTGAACTGGGAGCAGTGAGATGAAGTAGAGAACTTGACGTGGACTGCTCAATATCGTGTGTCTCGGAATCGTGCGGCAGATTTGGCTGTTTCGGTTTCTCTAGGGTCTGGCGAAGGAGAACTGCTTTTAGAGATGACATCATCGGACTCTCTGATGACCTCATTGGACTCTCGGATGTCCTCGAGGCTCCACCCCTCACCCAGGAAAAGGGGCGGAGTCCTCCGTTCTTGTCCCTCTCGCCAACTGTCTCTTCTTTCCTCGACTTCCGGGCATCTTCCAAAACGTTTTGAATCAACCGAGACACCAGCAACTCGGCAACCTCACTAGCACCTCGCACAGAGTTCCCCGCTTCTCCCCCCACCTCCAAACCTCCCTCCTTCCCACCCTCACACCCCACAAAATCTGACTCCCTCCCTGTAGCCCGCGCTTGAAGACGAGCAATCAGTAACCCTTCTCTCATGACGCCTTCAACAAGATCGTCGGTGAACTCGTGAAGCGTTATAGTCTGTCCAGTGACACTGGATGACTGCGAGCTCTGTCCACTTTCAATCGCCTTTTTCACAACAGCCTGAGGAGCCTCAGGGCCTGAGAAAATGCTGGAGAGGACGTTGTCGGCCATTTTGTCGGCGTACGAATGGACCCGCCACTCGATAGCTGGGCTTGTCGGTGGCCAACGGTTTGAGGTGAGGTAGGGAGAGGCGGACTTGGGACTGTCCGATCCGCCGATAGGACGTCCGCTATTATGCTACGGGACAGTATATCGGCGGTACGAGTGGTCACCAGTTGTGCAGTGACTTCCTCTGTGAGTTGTAAATTGCAAGGTTCCGTATCGGTGTCTTTGGCTTCAGAAACCGTTTGGCAAGGTTTCTTTGATAGAACACTCGAGAGGATGGACCCAGATAAATAATTGGCAAAGTTGTCCATTCTCCAGTCCCTCTTTTCGCTGCTACCGGTTTCACCACGCCCACCACTGGCTGCTGCCTTCTCAACGCCAGACTTGATAATGGAACCGACGAGACTATCGATTTGAATCGATTGCTTCGTAACACTCTCTGCTTTCACAACGCTCGAGTTTGTAACTGGCAACGACTCAGCAATGCCGTCGGAAATCTCAATGCCATCAGGGAAGCCACGAGGAGCTGGGGCTACTGCCGTGGAAGATTCCGGAAGGATATGCGACAGATTCGAAGAGCGGCTATTGCAGTAGACGACTTGCTCGGAGTCTTCTCGGACGTAGCGACAGGCAATCTCCTCTGCCTCCTTGTCTCCAGTCTCGTGGGACACAGAGGCACCCGGTGAAGGTCTGGTTGACTTGTCTGAGGAGGTACTGAGTGGAGTACTGCTGGTCTTGTGAGAGGGGGTCGGTGAACTGAACTGGACCAATAGCCACAAGGCTAGTGGGGAAATTTCCATAAGGATCTAACTGTGAGAGACAAGAGTAACAGAGGTCAAAAGCACTACCACAGAAAAAGACCATAGACGTTGTAGCATCAATGGCAATTGACGATTGACTAGCCAGCAAGACATGCAAATTGGAATACAAAGTAATATAGGCAAATACCATAATAAGGGCCATAGACATACAGTAAAATCAATGTCAAGTACTATACACAAGTCATTTACATCAGCAAATTGGAACAAGATTACAAGATTGCAGTACTTAATGGTGACTGAATGAAGGGCAGACAGACAGACTTACAGACTAACTTACATCTCCACTTTTCCCGACATAGTCATGACTGTCTTCACTACTTACCACAAACCTCTCCACTCCCTGTACAGAGATATACATACATGTATGTATGTACAACACACAGAAGAACTCTTCGCATTAGTTCGGGGTAACTAACCCTTTGGACACCATGGGTATTTCATAAGCAGAAATTGATGTATAACATATTAATGCCTAGTATTATAGCCATATATAAATTCTTATGGACTTATGGAGGCTCTCTGGGCGTATACATAATTATGCCTGTGGCTGGCTAAGGGTTAAAGATGTACATGTCTTTCTGCTTGTGTGCTAAACACATTCATGACAGGAGACAAAGTACCAACTTATGTCGGGAGACATTGTAATTGGAAGTCCAGTGTGCTACCGACTGAGCTACTCCTCCCGGACAAAACCTGGTCTTCCCCACTTTAACCTCTTGGTAGAAATGTATGACACAGACTAAGCAATGAAGGGTAAAGGAAGGTGGGGCAAGAAGCAGAACGACAAATCTCTCCCCTAATCACTATAATGACTATCTAGTACAGATCAACACATGCCCCCTCTATGATGCGTTGCCTTCCCTGCAAAGTTCCCCACACTCACCTTGATCAACAGGGTCTCATTGTCCTGGAGTGGTTCCAGAACGAGACTGGAAACGAGCAGCTCGGGATACATGCAGTGGTGGGCATGGTCCCCCAGGTAGAGTCCCTCCACCGACAGATGGGAGGTGGGTATGTCAGCCTGAAAAGAAACCAGAGGACGCAAGTGAAATACGAAAAGCAAGGCACTATTAAACGACACCCAAGAGGTTCCCAGGGTGGGGCTTGAACCAATGAAACTTTGCACACCCTTTCTACTGCGAGGACAGCTCAGCAGGCATATACCACACCATTATCTCAAAAGCAAATGGATGTAATCCGTGAAATTGCAAGAGTATTCTTCGCCAAAGCTTTGGTTTTAGCACGCCACGCACGGCAGTTGACCTCATCTGTTGTTTTACCAGCAGATTCCCAGGGTCCCCATAGTTTTCAATGCTGACAGCACACAGAGGGAGCTGGCAAGCCTGCCATACTCTGAGAGACGGCACCTCACCCAATGGAAGACCCTAGCAGGAGATAGCATCGTCAAAGGCACACGATATACACATATATAACACAGTGCTACAGAAGAAACACCGATGTTTTTTACTGCTTCAAAGAATTCGTCAATCATAAATGTAGCAAATTCACGCTTTTTTCAGTTTGTATATAAAACACACTTGGGGCCGAATATTTTAGTGTCAATACTTTTTACGGTTGAAAAATCTTCATATATATGTATGTAAAGCATTATACCCTGTGGTTAAAACTGGCTACCCTTATACAAATAGTAACACAGTCTAAAACTCTCTCACCTGTCGTCGGAAGGTAATGGTCTTATCCAGGGACGTCCTCCACTTGTCCAGAGAACTGAAGTAGGCCAGACAGCAGTGCAGATAGGCTGCCGTGGACCTTGTGTATTGGTATTCTGTGGTGCACTGTGATTCATGTAAGAAACCTCTTACCCTGATTTGTCAGTTTCAGTACAAAGTTGATGGTAGAAATTGGCAAATGAGAATGGAAAATCTTTCTGTTGATCTCCTCCATTTCGCTGTTCTCGGGGCTCAGGCAGTCCACAGAGAAAGGCGCTGGCGAGAAGAGACACAACTAGACGTCTTCCAAGACCAACACAAGCATCTTTTTAGAGGTCAAATAAAGAAAACAAAGTGGGAGAGAGGGGGAAGGAGGAAGAGAGGGAGGAGAGAGGAAGTAAAATGAGTAGCATGACCAGGAGCGCAAGCTCACTCTCTTGTGCTTGCAGACGCGGAATTCCAGTTTTAGGTAAGCGTTCCCTCAGGAGCTGGCAGAAGAGGCGATAAACTTCAGTGTGCTACCGAAGAACGCATGCCTTTCTTCGTCACTGCAGTACCGCTTCAGAAACACGGCCAGGCCAGACAGCCGCTCGAACTTCGCTCGAAACACCGAGTCCTCGCGAGTATTCGAGGCAATGAGCTCCCCGAACGTGTTCAGGGACTCCACGCTTAGGAATAGACGGCAGAACTGTTGCATCTCCTCCCAGCCTTCGCTGTCGAGATACGGCAGGGCCATTCTCTCTCTTCCTCCTTCGGTCATCTCTCTCTTTGATGCTCGCGTTCCATATGCATGCTTTTGCATGTGGTCAACCTTTGACCCCAACGGATCGTGGAATGTATGCATGTAAACATGACGACCACAATACTGTAACATACACTGATGTAATACATAAATCTACAGACTAGTCCTCTGCTTTATCATCTTCGTTGCTGCTAGGTTGAAAGAAATCAATATCCCCCTCTCGATCATAGTCCTTCAAAGGGACAGAGACTGCGGCCAGCTGGGTGGCAAAATGTTTATGAAGTGCCGCCACTATCGCTTCTCTCTCTGCCCTCTTCAGCGACGTACCACACCCCTCCCCCAGCAACCTCTCCCCGGAATAGACACCCACCACAAACGTAGGAAAATGCGTGGCTCGTCCGGTTTCTTTCAGAAGTCGAGACTCTGCCCTCGGCATGCCAAGACTTGACAGTATGCTCCGCAAAATGTGCCGCGGGTGCTGGAGCTTTATCACCTCATGGAGGTCAACCCCTGCCATTTTGGAGGTGATGAATTCAGTTACAAATTTCCTGGCTGCACTCGGCCCTTTGTCGAGATGAAGGCAGGCCACAGTCGCCAGAAGAGCACGCACGATTATCTTCTGCTTGCTTGGGTCGTCTAGTCTCTTTTGCGAGACGATCAGGTCAGTTATACCGAGATGATCTGTACATTTGGCCAATGCTGGGTCGTTCAAAAGAAACTTTGCGATGTCTCCAAGGCTGTCGGCCTCCATCTTTGGGTACACTTTTAGAAGGTGCTCTGTGACGAAGTATTGGACCAGGGTTTTCCCCAGGAAGGAGAGCCTGCTGTTGTGCTCCGGGGGGACATCTGGCGCACCCTGCCCCTCTTCCCCCTGTGCTGGTTGACGGGTAAGCGCCGAGCGGTGAGTGAGAGCCGTTTGCAGTCGAGGCAGGTCTGCCAGGTCGTGCCCCAGTCGACGGGCTAGTGCGAAGAGCTCCTTGTCGTAGTTCCAGTTGCTGCCAGGTCTCCACTCCTGAGTCCGCGGGTCCACTGACCAGCTGGGAACAGTGTCGAGATTCAGTACTTTGTCTCCTTCACCCGTCGACGTCCGCGGTTCGCTCCAGACCGCTGGAAGGCACGAGATAGACCTGCACTTTGTTACTGGTGGAGGTGGTAGTCGTCTAATAGAACGTTGGACAGAAGAAACGCTCCATAGATTGCGGCACCCTCTGCAAAACATGTCCCTTACTTACACGTGCGCTGCTTTTCTAATCAAAGCGCACCCGGGCGGTTCTAATTAACGACCGCCGTCAGTCTCAGCATCGCGGTGGTGTATTACCGCCTCCCCAAAATGGACCAGATGGGGGAATTAGAAGATCTAGACGTGGTTTTAGCTAAACAGAAGGTTCTCAGTGCCAAGGTAAACCCGTAGGCTTTATGTAGCAAGCGTGACACTACGTATGTCTCTATACAGGACATTGCAGATCTTCCTGACCCGGTGGCTTCTCCCGGGGAGAACAAACTGGAGTATGCCTACTCCCTGTGGTTCACTCAGCGGACTCGAGGCTCTGTCTCCACCTCCTCAAGCTACGAGGAGAATATAAAATTTGTCGGATCTTTCTGCACAGTGGGTAATACAGTAGACCCCCTGTCTAAGTATGTCACTAAATAATGAAGACACCCCTTTAATCAGGACCCATTTTCATTCTCAGAGGATATATGAAATCCGTCAGATCTTACTGCCCCGTAGAACTCTAAGGAAACCCTCCGAAATTAGTACACCTCCGTTTCCCCTAGAACAGCTCAATTAAGGACACGTGATTGGTAAGCACGGAAGGAAATTCCTTAACCTACGGAGAAAGCGAAGCAAGCAATAATGAAGAGTAGACATACCTAATGTAAACTTATTGTGTCCCAGTTGTGTGTTGTTGTGGAACATATGCTTGTATGCATAATGCCAATTGGTGCACACCAGGTGGAGGGTTTCTGGGCTCATTACTGCTATCTGGCAAGACCATGTGAGCTGCCAGCTCACTGCGACATCCATGTCTTCAAGAAGGGAGTCAAACCCATGTGGGAGGTGAGTTATAATCATAGGAAATGAGTTGTTAATACTGTGTGGTGTTGGCGAGTGGGAGCGTGTTGTAAAAAAGGTGATGTAATGCTCTACACAGGATGATGCCAACAAGAGCGGTGGAAAGTGGATGATACGACTCAAAAAGGGCATCTCCTCCAGATGCTGGGAAAGCCTGGTACGCATGATCGAACTTGTACCTTACGAGACCGCTAGGCAAAGGACAAGCAAGTCAACAGGCAACTCAAGAAAAAACAGAGCTGTATAAACCCTGGTTACAATGATGATGTACTGTATGTATGAGGTTGTACAATTACAACCTATCACATAGCATGAACTATTAATTTCCTGTGTCCCTCTCTGTATCTCCTATCAGCTGCTGGCAATACTGGGGGAACAGTTCATAGTAGGCGATGAGATATGCGGAGTGGTGATATCCATTAGACCAACCGAAGACATCATATCTCTGTGGAACAGAACTGCTTCCGACAACAGCATCACCGCACGAATCAGGTCTGATATACAACTAGTGACAGAATCAGTTTTGCTCGTAACATTCGTGACATAACAGTACACCAGAGCCTCCAAGTTTCTCATTGTCCTCAGATAGCAAATCGTTGGCTTTTCGCGATTGATGCTCTTACGTTTTCTATTCACTTTTGAGTGCACCATCTCTCCGTTGTCATTGGTACGTGGCATGTGATAAAACTGTATGCTTAGAGGCACTGGTACACGGTGGATCTTTTTACTACTCAACTAAAGCACGTTGCATGCAATGCTAAATACTTCCTATAATAATATACTATTTCGGTGGGTGGCCATATACCAATATAAAGTTACATAGTTGCCATAGGTATCATTGAAAATGTATGACATAGGGATACAATGACGAGGGTGATGTCCCTACCAATCAAGACGATAATGGAGTACAAGGCACACGATGCCAGTCTAAGGTACATGAGGACTGCACCCTGAATCTCTTGCTCCTAATCTGTAGTCTATATTCTCTCTATAGGGATAGGTCGAGTTACAGAAACACGGATGTCTTTGTGCGATGATAAACCCACACACCACACACAAGCACACTAAGTCAACGTAATGCATCTCCATACATGTGATTAATCCGTGATATTATACTGGTAGGTCTGGTTTAGGTCAAACGTAGTATTAGAAGAACTGTTTTCGTAGTATCTTCTGGATGATCTTCTGCTCAAGAGAGTCAAAACCTCGCGTGTTGAGAGCTTCTATCTCGGCCTTTACTCCAGCCTTCTCCATGAGCTGAACTTCCCTAGAGTAGTGTGGGTTACCCATGGCTTCCACTTGACTCCGTGCACCTCTGAATACTCTGTGATCCGACACTCCCCACGACTGAAGAGCGCTTTCGTCGATCAAACACTTTCCATCCGCGTCGAAAATGTCGCCGTGGTGTACTCCCAACCAGCGTATTTCCTCGACTGCGAAAGCGTGCGACTCTAATCCCATGGTCCGCGATCCGAATTTGTAGGTGAGTAGGATGCGGAGTCCGTGTGGGTTATAGTCAAACAGACCCAGGACGGGGAGGGAGAACTGATGAGAGAGTTTTTTGACCGTTGCACGCACGCTGAGGGGAGGGTAGCCGCAGCCGGTCACCACCACGCAGGGTAGGGTGTCCCAGATTCTCTGGCCACAGAGGTAGGTGAAGACGGCATCTTTCTCGACAATCAGGATGTAGCGTGCCCCGAGACACTCAAACCTCACTCCCTCGATAACACCTGGGATCTGCAGTGGTAAAGATGATGTAATGTTAATAACACCGAGAGCTCTCTGCAGGGTTTTAGACTTTGTATTGGTGTGGTTGTCATGCAAGTCGCAAGTCACCAGGTGTTGACTGCGACACATACACATTTACCCTCTTTCCACTTGTGCCTGTTGAGCAATCAATTGGTTCACCTCCTTCGTCCTGAGACAGAGAGAAAGAAAGAGAGGATACCTTTAAAATAATACACAATTTCAAAGTCTGTTGGCTATATACTGTAACATCCACTTTCAGCACGCTCTCAAGACGTTATGTAGTCATTTTCTGAATTCCAAACACGAAAAACCTGTCATACACAGTAGCTATTCAAACCTGCCAGGTGAGTAGTCCAGCCACTGCTCCTGAACTGCTGGCACAAATGCCCAGAGCCGTCCGTGCACACCCAGTGAGGGCCACCACATCTGTGTATGTATATAATGCAAAGACTGTTTTCTCTCCTTTCTCTCTCCCCTATGTATAGATAAACCTCTCTGTATAAAGGAAGAATCTAGCTAATGGTACACTCAAGAACCTCTCTGTACATAAACAGCGCCCCAGTTAATGGGACAGTTAATTTTCATGCTCACAGCATTTGGAGATCCAACTGTATGTGTAATAGCCAAGATGAAGTGATAAGATTGCTTACCCCTGTTAAAGCACATGTACATATTAGCTAGAGGTCCTACTGCATTGTGCATTACCCTGCAGTGTACTGTTGAACTCGGCCTGGTCCTTGAAGTGGTTGACCAGGCAGTAGTAGGCCTCTCTCTGGGTGGCCATCTTGTCTTCCTGCAGCAGTCTCTGGACCAACTCCAGCACCTGCCAGACTGAGACACACAATGTTAACATCTTGTAATGGACACTCTGAATATAGACCGACGAAACCTCTGAATACACCTCACTGTAAAGGACACTGTGGTTCCACCAGACAGTAATGCAGGACACTTTTCTACCTCGCAAGGTGTCCCTTATTCAAAGGTTTCACCTACTTAGTCTAGGCCTACTTTGCAGTAAGCCACACCCCGTGGCCTGAAACTAGTCGTTAACGTTGCTAGGCAAAGGTTAACAGGGTTTTCTGTACTGTTCCACTGCACCAATTTCATTAAGACTGTTGCTTTCATAGTATTTTTTAATCTCTGAAAAAAGACCACCACCGTATTACAGAAGAAGAAAACTTGCACGAACTTCAAGGCTGTCCACAAAAGGTTGTTTCCACAAACCTTTGTGGGGACGTGAGACCAGTTTTTCTCCAAAACAATTTGCATTTGCGACCAAACCTTCACTAAGCTATGAAGGGTACTGTCTACATGGCCCCAACATGTTGATGTTCCACTATAATACAGTCAGTATAATTAGCTAAACATACGTATAATTATGTATACACGTTTCTCACTCTTCACAAATCTCTCCGTGCCACCTCTGGAGAACAATTTCTTTACTGTCTTCGTTTTCCCGAGATGCACGCGGCCAAGGTCGTCTCTCACCACATTCTTACCACTGCGACTTGTCTGAAATGATATATACCAGAAACGCATGAATTCTGTTTTGCCTAAAACATGAAAAGCTCAGCTGGCTCTGTAAATCTCTTTCCTCATGCTCATAATTTACCAGGTGTAATGAAGGGTCCTCTCCTCGAGCGAGAGATCCCAGAAACGAGAGGGTCAGGGACTCTAAGATGGCCAAGACCTCTGCCTTTGGTGGCAGCTTAGCGTCAGCCAGTTCTTCTACCAGGTATTCAGCCTCATTGCCTCCACTCATAGCGAAGTATAGTCCAGCCTCTTTTGTCTTTCTCTTCGCTCTGGCAGCAGGAGAATTTTTCAGCTGGAGAGAGAGCCCTGCCCTCTCATTTTTATGCGCATGCGCAAACACACATTGTGGGGGTCGGACGTCGTGCAACGCTCCCTTGTTGCCTTCCCTACTTTTGTCCTCGTTTGCAGTTGTACGGAACTACTTGGATTGTTTTCTCTGCTCGAACACACCCTGCAACCTTTCCAGCGCCGACTTCACTTGTCACGTAAGCCGAGGCCGTGAGACCACGCCCTGCCACGAGCAGCAGCACGCAACTTCTACTAGAGCGAGCGACAGAGCCATGATCGTCACGAAAAGACTGCTAGTAGCTAGTGGAGGAATTGTTCCTACTCTCCTGCAGTCACCAGGCTCCGCAGCCAGCCTCCAAAATCGTCAATCCCTCTCGAATATCTCCGTTCGGTATCTTTCCAAGCGACGAGGACTCCATGATACTGGCAGAAAATCAGGAAAAAAGGGACCCCGCCACTATGGCCACCCGCTCCCGCTTGGACCTGAGCTATCTCCCAGTGATACCAACACGAGTCCTCTCTCTCCAGCGGCTCTCATTGAGATATACAACAGAAAGAGGGAGAGTCTGACAGGTAGGTAAAATGGAACAGCATTTCCATACGCTACGTTAATATGCTTAGCTATAGAATTGTGTAAGCGAAAGTTTGCCAAATTGTCATACTTTAAATTTGTTCCCTTGCATGTGCAACTGCAAATTGCCGCTTCTGCCCCCTTCACCTGTATTCCGGCAATTAATTATACACCTTGTATTGATGTGAAAGACAAGATACTGCTATTATACACGGGCAACTTTGTTGCTTTTAACACACGTTTATAGCATGTACAAGGGGCAAAGGGGCAAATCTGGTCCTTTTTGTGTGCATTTCAGTTGAGTTGAATCATCAAGATGTACCGTCAGAAGCCGTCTTCACCAACAGCGAGATCTCTCTGAAGCACATCGACGTGTACGGGTTTGATTTCGACTACACTCTACTCCAGTACACCCCCGAGCTACACAGACTCATCTACACCGCAGCCTGCAAGAGACTCGTCGACAAACTAAGTGTGAGACTCCACAACAAATACACCATACTGTATGGATTAAGATCGCGCTTAGCTTCCGAAGCTGTTACTCACATACATTTCCTATGGAAGAACTACACAAAGTAACAGCGGCTTACAAACAGTTAAAGATGTGTATATGCAGACTTGAAAGCTCAAAGATACCACACTTGACATTGACAAAAGTCTTTTTTTCAATTGAATCGAGAATTTTGTTTTGCATCCTTTAGCGTTTGAAGCCGTAATTTGGTGTCTGTGTAACATCGTGTGCTATGGCACAATTAACCCTCACTGATATGCATACATGTTGATCTGGCTCACCCAGTACCCTCATGGGATAGAAGACATGGACTATGACCCTGACTTTGCCATTCGAGGTCTTCACTGTGACATAAGTCGAGGTCTGCTCATGAAGATCGATGCCTACAACCACATCCACCTCTCCTCTGTCCACAGGCAAGACAGCACACACGTGTGTCTCAAGTGTGTCCACGTGTGTCCCTCTGCTGTAATTGCGTTGGTGCGTCCATTGAACGACACACACACACACGCTTTCAATGGACGCTTGTGTGCTCTGCATGTGACATAAGAGAGAGCATAACTGTCTGCTAGGCTTGGTATATACTTCAATCTGAGACAGGGTTATGTGCATACAACAGATCGTGCTGCATTTACCTGATGCCGCTCACAAAACTGAATTGGTACACTTGCCCTAACATACATAATTGACAGTCTTTTTAAAAATTGGCACTTTTGGAAACACACTTAGAATCACCAAAAAAATGTGTGCCACAATCTTTAGTGGCGCTCTAACATGCAGCACAAAATGACCAAAAAAAATATGTAGTGTAAAAAATTGTGCTTTACCTGCATAATAATGTGTGTGAATGTTGGATAACCGCCTCAGAGGTCACCAGCAGTTGTGTAAAGAGGAGGTGCTGGAGCTATATGGAGGGTCCCACATCCCACTGCGGGTGACGGAGGACTCTGCGACGGGCAGCAGTCCCCACAGGAGCTCACAGATGGTCCAGTTCCTGGACCTCTTCTCCATACCTGAGGCCACCCTCTTTGCCAATGTCATGGAGGTTTGGACTCGTTAAGACTGATCCACCCACTACTCTAACCTTTTACCACCACTCTTTGTACAAACAACTTCCACAGTTAGACCTGTATCGCTTTCACGAAACTTTTCCACAGACAAGTTGCTTTCATGTGTAGTTTTATGAGATTCACAAAAGCGAAAGATGTTCCTGAAAACTTTAGCGGGGTGTAGGTCAAAATATTTGGGCGGGAATCAGTGGTGTATACAAGCAAGCAATCAATGAAGTTCCTCAGTGAAGTTTTCTCAGTCAGACTTTTCATGCTATAGCTACATGAAAGTTTTGGGGTGATAACTCAACTATAATTTATCCTGCTTTTGAACCTGGCTTCATTGCCAAGTTTTTGGGTGTGAAAAACAGGTGGCTGTAGAGTGGTTGGGGCACTCTGGGTCTCAAACCTTCCCGTGAGGTGCCATTTTCCCTCCCATTACAGTACATTCACCACAGAGAAGGGCAAGCCTTCTTACCAAAGTTCCTTTTCGAAGATGTTCAGGTTTGCTATTACACTATGCCCACTCCAGGTGGTAGCATTGCTTTTTTGTGCTTGTGTTGGCTACCTTGTGTTTCTATAAGCTCTGTGAACAACTGATGTGGCTTTATTCCACATACAGTATAACTGCTAAAGTGTGTTTTGGCTTATTCCACACTCTACTGTATGCTTGCAAAATTGGTCTCAATATACTCAGAGTGTGTTCTTTTTGCTATGGATGTGGGTGTGTTATTTGGTTTTGCAACCTCATTGTGACATTGCAAGTACATACATACGTACCTGGTTGAGGAATGTTCTCTTTGGTATGCGTTGTCTTAGTGCACAACTAGTTTATAATTTGGTATGCATTGTGTTTGCTTCTTGCAGAATACGGTGAAAGAGATTCACACAGAAGGTCTCATTCATGATGCTATAATAGAGGATATCGGTCAGTCAACACCAATGCATTGCTCATTATGCACGAAAATAGGACAAATTTTTTGTTTCTCAACGTTTCCTCGCTGTAATGTACTGCCTACATCAAGGGGGTTTTTCGTGTACTTTTTCAATAGAGAGGTACACTAAGGTGACACCGAGATTACCGGAGTACTTGAATCGTCTCAAGAATGCCGGGAAAAGGCTTTTCCTCATCACCAACAGTCCTTACTGGTTTGTGTAAGTGACTCACAACCTCTCAAAATGATGGTAGTGTTTGTGTCGAGAATGCACTGTTGTATGCACTGAAAAAGAAGTTAAGAATCATGCATATAGGCTTCCATAGTTGAAGTCAAGACTGCTTCATGAAAATCAGACAAAGCACAAGATCAAATCCTTTGTCTCTTTCACCCACCCTCTATAGTAATGCAGGAATGACGCACGCATTAGGTTCTCCCTACTGGAGAGACCTGTTCGACATTGTCATAGTCCAGGCCATGAAACCATCCTTCTACTCCAACTCTGACAGGTTAGACAACAACCCCGTAGTGCATTATGATAATATTGCTGCTACGGGCTAGATAGCTACTGTGTAAAGTGTGAATGTGAAATGTAAGGAGTGGCTAACACTTTCGTACTTTTAGTGAACACATGGGGGGAAGGACAAACCAAGCAGCGATCAATGATACCTTTACTATAGCTGGAGAGTGCAGTGCAGTAACTGCCAACTGTTACTAAACATGGGTTTGGTGAGCACATGGGGGAAGCAGTAGCCAAGTTGCCATCTATACTATTCAAGCTGGATGGTACTGTAGAAAATTTCGTACTTTTAGTGAACACATGAGGGACCGACAAGCCAACAAACCATCCTTAATACATTGAATTTAGCTGCAAGACTGCAATGAAAATTGACTGTAGAAAGTAGGCACAGCCTTAATTAATTAGTGACTGCAGAAAAAATCTTGACAATAGCTCCACATATATAGTCAATGAGTGACAGTGACTCTGTTATTCTGTATATAGACCATTTCGTCTGCTGAATCCTCGCTCCATGTCCCAGACGTGGAGACCGGTGTCCAGTCTGGAACGAGGCCAGATCTACATCCAGGGAAACGTGGGAGACTTTATCTCCATGACTGGTTTGCCAGGCGCTAGGGTCCTCTACTTTGGAGACCATGTCTTCAGCGACCTTGCTGTGAGGCTCCAAGCCCAGCCAGTTGTTTGGATTGCTCTGAACTTAGGCTTTTTGTTTGTACTTTTAGCAAGCACATGAAAGAAAGGACTGACTAACCAACCATCTGTTATACATTGACTATAGCTAGAGGGTGCAGTGCAACCGCTTCTGGGAGCGACTAAAAGTGGCCCTAATTAGAATGATAATACCTGCTTGTCGTATATCTGAATGACTTGCCGAGCATGGCTGTTTGTATGAGATTATTCTCTCCTCTCTCTTTCCTGTTAAAAGGATCCCATAATGCAGCTTGGCTGGAAGACTGGAGCCATCATACCTGAACTAGAGGTATATGCATAAGTGTGCCCTATATGAAAACTTCCAGATAATCTAGAAAATATTCGTGGGCTCAGACATTTTGTAATGCCCCTGCAAAACTCTAGTTTTCCACATAATCAGTTTCCATATTATGGTTGTCCTGTAACTTGTGTATATATATTATCCTCGGCTCTAAACACAAACCACAGGCTGAGATGAAGAAGGCATTTTCGCCTGCAGCAAAGCGTTACCTTGCAGAGTTGCTGGTGCTGGAAAACATGCTCAAAAATTACCAGGTTTCTCTACACTGATGTACAGTACCTCACTGTGCCCAGCACGCATGGTAGTGTTATCCTGGTGGTTTCCACGTGATGAAATTGTCACCATGGCTACAAATTATCTGAGGGATGCTTACCCTGCATGAAGCACATGGGAATGACGTGGTTGGTGGTTTTCTTTATTTGGCTGCAAATTCCCAAAGACAGGGCTGAATCACTGTGGTTTGGTTTAACCAAGCTCCTTTGGTGAGCAAAGTGGCCTTTTAAGTCACTCACGTAATGTCTGCGGATTCGCATGCTCATTTTGATAGAGCAGAGTCAGTCAGTCTGTTGGTTACATACCATGCAATTCAGATGACCAGGTAGGCGTTTTCACTTGCCAATAAACATATCTACATAATGGGCCAATTACCCAACAACCAACTAATGTCCTACCTACTTACTTGACACGGCAGGAGCACAGCAGACCGGAGTTGGTGGCAGTGATGGAGGATTGGAAGCAGAGGCGAACGGAGGCCAGACGCCACCTCAAGACCATGTTCAACCCTCGTTTTGGCAGCGTGTTCCGCACAGAAAAGTCCCCAACCTACTTTAGTCTGCGGCTCTCTGCCTTTGCTAACCTCTACACTGCCTCGGTGGACAATCTCATGAATTATTCATTAGACTATACGTTCATTCCTCGCAGGACAGCGCTCCCCCATGAACCTGACTTAAACTTTGACCTGGACATAAGACTGACTGACCCAGACTAGCAACAATCCACTTTGTATATATACTTTCAGAGACTCTGAAATAAAAGTCTCAACTACCCATCCTCAGCATAATTGCATCATTCAAGTTCATTTTTTGTATATACATCAATATCATTACTGTATACGGCCGGGAAGAAAACACGTTTCCTCTGTCCCTTAGAAGAACTTAGCCAACTTGGTGATAAAATTCAATAGCCCACACGCTTATACAGTACGAAACGAGTCACTATAATAGCCATCCTGAATTTACTGTTCCTTTTTAGCCTAGCTAGCTACTTCTGCGGCAAGAAGGCAAAGTACGACCATCTCCAGGAGGGAGAGATCTCGAATCCGACGTCGATAAAGTCCACTACTGGCATCCGTGGTGGAAAAGCTGGGACCAGCTTCGGCTCCTTGATAGAAGTCGCGGCATCTTTGGTTCGTTCCTCGGAGATGCTAGGCGGAGCTGGTGCGGAGGTCGCTGCAACAAGCAGTCTGGATGTAGGTCTGCTGGGGTTGTCTGCGGAGGCTCTCGCTGCTTCTGCTGCAGACGTGGGTCTGGATGTCTCGAGTCTTGACGACGGACGAGAGTGGTCGTGAGACTGTGGTCCCGTGGAGCCAGGGCGAGACTGGACGGCCGACATTAATAATCAGAGCTTCAGAAGGGAACGTTCCAGCTACGTAGCGATCGTGGAACAGACCTAACCTAGAGTGTAGTACCGATCCGCCGAGGAATGATCTGTAGCAAACGTAGCCCCTCCTCCCCCCCATCGGCCGCTGCGCAGCAGACTGCACGTGATAATGCGCAAACCAACAACACTGTTGGCACATAATATATACACACATTATATAGGGGAAATTGGTATCAACGAAACTTCACTTTTTCTTTCTTGGCGGTGCAGTAGTTGCAGTCTGTCGAGCTGCAGGTATGTGTAGGGGGCTGGGACTGAAGTAGGAGTACCTCCAGGCCGGAGTGAGATCAAACCCACCCCCGAGAAAATCGACTCTTGGTTTCCTGATGGGTGGAACAATTGGTGGCAGGGCTTTGTCCTTGTGCAAGTTTGAAGTCGATCCCGTTTGAGAAGAGGGGACTGTACTCGAGGCATAGTGTCTGGCATGGCTGGGGTCGCCCCACTCCGAGCTTGTGGGACTAGATGCCTTCATGTACCCACCAGATTTCCTCACCTTCCTCCCGTAGTCTGGCCCGGCAGAATCCGAAGTCTTCCGGGCGGCGTTAGTGGAAGAAGTCACTAACGATACGGATGCTTGTTGTAGCTTTATACCTCCATCATGTAGGTCATGAGACACTGCTTCACTTCGTTGGTCAGAGGCCCCAGCATCCTCCCTTTGCTCAGCAGTACTACCACAGCCACCACTCTCTGCATGACCATTCTTGTCCCCTGATCTACTCTTGAGATGGCTAGAATCCTCTAAAGAGTTTAACAGGCCCATACCAGCTTCCTCTGAGAGCAATCCTCTGTTTGTTTTTGATGACAGCATTCTTTCATCATTGAATCCTTCGCTCCTTCCTCCCCTCCCCTTTCCAGCAGAGTTGCTGAAATCTGAATTCCCAAGTAGCCCATTATTGTATGGATCTAGACCGTTACCCCTGCTATTTGAAGATGGTTCCACACCATTCAAGAGATTGGCCCCATTGGTACCATTGGTTCCACCATTTGTACTATTTTCAGAATTCAACCGATGATGCTCATCTTTGTTTCCAGCTAAAGTGTTAGAGTTACTGTTCCCCAAACTGTCACCCCCACTTCCAGATTTGTGCTCACCGCTCCCATTCTCGTCATCAAGTTTGAAAGTGATCTTTCGCCTGTTCTTCTTCCCCTGCTTTCCTCTCCCCAGTTCATAGGAGCCGTTCTCACTGCTGTTTCCTTTCAAAATCCTCTTTGGCTTTTGTTCACTTGAATCCCCAGCACCTCCTCCCCCCGGACTACCACTCCCTGTACCACCTTTACTTCCTGTCCACCCGCCGGATTTCGTCTTCATGTTGAACTTCCCTGAATCTCCTTTCCCCGTGTACCAGAGTCCGTCTCTGATGAGTCGCGCCAGTTCTTCGTTGCACGGGAAAGGGGTCAACCCGTACCAGTGGTCTCTACATCTGGGGCAGTGAAACTTGGGGATACCCACTTCCCCAGCAATCCAGTCCCTCTTGTGACTCTGTTTGGGTGAATCATTGGTGTAGCTAAACAGTGCAAAGGATCAACTACATGCAGGGCAAAATTGCTGCCCTGGGTGAGGACTCAAACCCAATGTTTTGCTCTCTAGGCAGATTGCTCTGCCTACTGAGCTACCAGGTCAGATATGAAGTAACACAAGGCAATGGTAAACCCCAACTTTATGTTATATAATCATGTAGCTACATGCTTTAAATTATATTGAGGGAGTTAAGTGTATTTGTTATGTGTTTATTCCAGCTGTAGCTATGCAATGAATTATCTTTGCACGTCATACAGTAGTGAATCTACTGTCTACACTTATGCTCTTCAATGATTTTCATCAGTTACGTCACTCTAATGCCAAGTTGCATAAACCCCTCTGACACAGCTCAGAGAATCACAACATTAGCCATGTTCCTTCATTGAAACCGCGGACATTGTTTATAAAATCTATAACATTGTTTTCCAGAGTTCACATTAATGAAACTCCACTGTACGTGTATACCTCTTGAAAAGAAGTAAAATAGCTCTATATACAAACTGACTTTTGATTCCACTCCATAGGTGTTGCATGATAGGAGGTCCTGCAGTTTTTCACTCTTTTCTCTATCGTCAAACTCCTCGTTGAAAAACGAATCAAGACTGTCACAGTCCGAATCATCATCATCATCAAGGTCATCGCTGATGTTTGTGAGGCTTGTGATGGGGGGTTGGTCAGTCGGGTAGTGCTTGGCCACCCATCCATGCTCCATCCGACGCATGAACACTCGACCAGACAGGGGACGAATGGCTGAAGCAGGTCTCTGATATATTATTATAGAACAGAAATGCAGTAATCTTGTTTTAGGAGCTGAAAGGTCTTCCATAAATGCAGAGTATAGGTGCACAGAAGCTTAACTGTGTAGCTCACAGATTCTATATATATAGCTACAAGATCATGTGCAACAAAATTAATGATCTCTACTATAGCTACACCTGATGAAGACTGGCTGACTGCTGCCGGCTCATACTTCTGGGAGGAGATCTATTGGACTCTGCCCTTGATCCAGGCCGGGAGTACGGCTCTAGCTGAGTCAACGACGCCCTACTGCTCATTGGACGAGAGCTCATTGGACGGGAGGTCATTGGACGAAGATCAGTGCGCGGCCTTGAGGAGGCAGGGCGTGCAGAAATGGCTGGGAGCTGGCTGGCGGGAGGAATTCCAGCGCCTGCATAGAGACCAAACTTGGAGTGCAGGCTTTGCGTGTGCGGAAGGAGATCCGTGGTCGAAGTGACGCGAGAAAGGAGACTAGACTGAGATTTTGACTGCAAGAAGAAATATAATTACGGCTAATCGCACGAAATAACAGTGCATGCACTTTACCTTTCTGCTCTCCATCTTTGCTGGATTGGTGAGCTACTGACCTGAGAGCGCGCAAACGACGTCTGCGTACGTACGTGGGAGTCCACCCACTCGGGCGCCGACAAAATTGAACATGCGCACTGCGTTCGTCAGGACACGTGTGTATAGATACGTGGGTGGGGACATGGAAGATCATCATCAGGGTCGATCTGACCTCGGCCCTGACAGAAGTACTGGCGGTAGCAGACGACCATGGATCTACTTCACCGTGATAATCTGCTGCTACGGATTCTTCAAGGAGTTCAAGCCGTCGGAGGCCTTCCTTACTCCATTCCTCGTCGACCCCAAGGGCAAGAACTTTACCAAAACCGAGATCAATTCGGAGATCTACCCATTCTGGCCTTACTCCTACCTCGTGGCTGCGTTATTCGTGTTTCTATTCACCGACTATCTCCGCTACAAGCCCGTTATCCTGCTGGAGGCGTTCGCCTATCTCGCGACACGCTTCCTGCTCATCTGGGGTACGTCTGTTTCTGCCATGCAGTGGATGCAGATTGCTTACGGAGTCGCCTCGGCTGCTGAGGTGGCCTTCTTTGCCTACATCTACCTGGCAGTCCCTGATGTTCGTTTCAAAATCGCGACTAGTGTTTTACGAGCAGTTCGCTTGCTCGGTCAGTCCGGGTCGTCTGCGGTGGCCCAGATTGTCACTTCGACTGGCGTGGTCTCTCTCCTACAGCTGAACTATATCTCATTCGGGAGTGTTCTGATATCCTGTGTGTTTGCTGTTCTCATCCCCAATCCCGTTTCCTTCGACTGCGAACCAGCTTGTTCTCGTGGTGTCATCAGTATAGTCCCCAAGCCAAGAACGACAGAGAGGAGAAAAAACTTGAGAAACTTTGTAGCGTTTGCATGGAGAGACTTCCGTAAATTCTACTCCAATCCCTTTCTCTTGAAGTGGTCGGTTTGGTGGGCCTTCTCCATGTGTGGAGTACTGCAGGTTGGAAACTATGTCCAGAGTCTATGGAAGGCAATAGCCGAGGAGACCCACCAGTCTCATGAATATAACGGACTGGTTGAGGCTGTGGCTCAGCTCTCCAGTGCTCTGGCTGCACTCGGGGTGACTGCTGTTAGGATCAACTGGAGGCTGTGGGGAGAGTTGGTGATTGGACTGCTGTGTTTCATTGACGCCGTGTTGCTGCTCGTGGCATCGCACTCCGACCAGCTCTGGATAGCCTACCTCTGTCACGTTCTCTACCGGACCACCTACTCCTTCCTGATCACCATCGCAAGGTGGGTAGCTATACACCTGGATGGCACATATATAGTCGACTTGTCGGGCTCTCTATAAGTAACCATATGATTGTGTAGCTGAAAACTCTAAAGCTGAAATATATATAGTTATCACGAAGACTGTTTGTCTGACATATATACCAGGGTTTCCTGCCCACATTACCTAATAATTTCATGGTACTATTTGGCTCCATATAGTTTTCTACTAGGGAGTGTATTGAGACTATAATTATGTATGCTTCTTTCTACAGTGTCCAGTTGGCTTATGCAGTTGATCACGACAGCTACGGTCTCATCTTTGGTTTCAACACATTCCTGTCTCTCGTACTCATGACAGGTTTAACCCTCACTGTGGCAGATGAACATGGACTTGATCTCGATATCAGGACCCAGGTCAGACAGACTCCTACTTGCAGCACCTTTTTTTAAACTCCTGTATAGCTGTAATATACTGTATTTTACAGATTAAGTCACAAAAATTTTAGCCTGTTACTTGTATATTATACTGCAGATGCAAAAAAAAGTGTGGCATTGTCGCTGTGTTATACGCATTTTACATCAAGTGTTAGAAGGCTTAGATAGTGCAGCTCCATGGCAAAAAGTATGTTAAACATCCCTGCTGGCAAGCACAAGCAGAATATGCAAATCCAACACCGCCAGGCATGAAAGGAACGTGTGACTTACTTCTTTGCCCATTATGCACCTGAAAATACAGTTTACCTATTTGGGCAAGCCTGCTATTGCAACACAGATTGCATTCTTTAAACCTTTTGTCACAGTTTGTGGTGTACAGCGGCTACTACTATATGCTGACACTGCTATTCATCGGAGCCGGTGTCTACAGCCTCACAACTACTGGTTGGCTCAACAGTCTTCGTCTCTGCTTCTCTGAGCTAAGGCCCCCATCATTAACTACTGATAATGACAACAAAGATACCGTGGAAGAAGAACCAACTGAGACTACACCACTGATACAGGACATGGGGAGATCAATCAAAACTCTGACTAAATCAGCAGCAATCTGATTATTATCAAGTGTGATACTACATGAGCAGATAATTCATTTTATGCACTCTTGTTTGTTGAACTACCTCCGGAAGCCAAGTTTCCTAGTCCAGGCTCCGTCAGTTTCATTGTCAGCCAGCCTTTTTTAATATCTGCACCGATCCGTTCATAGAACTGCTTTGCTTTAGCGTTCCAGTCCATTAGTTGCCAGGTCATGTTAGTGCATCCTTCCTCTCGGGCCAACTGAAAGATTACATAACTTAGTTCTCCACATGTGTGTGAGTATCACAACATTACAGATAATCACACCATACATCTGCTGGGTAAGTTTTTTTTAAGAACCAGTGTTACATTACACTTGCATGCACACAACTATGATTCAACTTCTGGTGCAGTGGGAAAGTGGGCAACATGCAGTGGTCCACCAGCCTTGTTGTATGGTCACTGACCTTTGCACATTCCTGCATCAGAGCTGTTCCAATGCCACAGTCTAAGGTCAAATTGCATGGGGTGGTGACAATGTCAACTACTATGATATATAGCTGAATAGCACACTTACTGCGGTACTCTTCTTTGACACAGAGATCTTCAAGAAAGAGGCTTCTTCCTTGTAACATTGAGTAGGTGTAGTAATATACAGCGTATCCCACTATTCTGTCATTATGTGGCGTGCTAGAAGAGGGCTTGTCAGACGTCAATTCAGCCACCAGCACATGGAACCATGGCCTCTCTCCAAACCCATCTCTCAATATTTCTACAAAAGCAGGGCAGAAATATTGCTTACTCACCTGCTTTAGTGACAGTATACTGATACGTAAGTACCCTTTTCTCCAGTTGTCTTGGTATTTGGCCCAAATAAATATTCTGCCAGTGCCTGAGTACAAACTCAGTAAGTGTAGCTGGAAAATCAGTAGGTAGATATAGCTACATACGTTACCTTAGCTAGGAATATAATGGACGGCACATCCTCCCTTGTGGCTGGCCTGATCGTCCACTGAAAGCTGGCGTTTGAAGCCATCAGCTGCGTAGGGGTGCCGCTACAAACAAAAGCGCTAAGATGCAAACCTTCGGCGAACTGCGCATGCGCGATACTGCTAATTGATGGGGGGCTGGGCTATTTGCTGTATGCGTTTACTCGTGCGTGGTCTCCCACTAGTAGCTCGCGGAGAGTCTGACACGGCCTAGTTACAGTAGTAGATAGCATGCGGGAGTGGATACATGCTATTCGTTGTGACTTCCTGAGCCCCCAAGGTAAGTTTTCAGGCTCGCGTAGTTCTAAAGACGTCGGTATCACTCACGGGCCGCCTCGTAGCCTGTACTAGTATAGTGCGAGAGTAGCTGCTGACAGAGACAGATCAGACACACACGTACACACACACTATATACCGTAACCCTCGCTGCGCATGCGCGCCGAGTGTTTAGCAGCGCTCTCTCGCGCAGGCGCGCGCGCACGGGTATAATTAATAAGCGAGCCGCGATTCGAAGCGCAAGGGGATCTTCTCGCCAGCCATGCTGTGACAACGTAAATCACATGCCAAAATACGAGATTTATATCACACCGCACCATGAACATTTTTATGCACTATTTCTTGTTGAAGTTGCAAGGTTTCCCAGCTCTGGCTCTATTAGAGTCATTGTTAGCCAGTCTTTTTTAATTTTTCCACCAATATTCTCATAGAATCCTTTTGCTTTAGTGTTCCAGTCCATCACTTGCCACGTCATGCTAGTACATCCTTCCCCTCGGGCCAACTGAGTAAAATTATAAAGATATATAGGCAAGTAGTGCTCCAACATGCAGAAACATTACTGTACTCCCAAACCTTTGCACACTCCTGCATCAGAGCTGCTCCAATACCACCGTCTAGAGTATAAAGAGCAAGCTACAAGGTGGATGCCAGGAGTATTTAGAACAGATACTTACTGCGGTACTCTTCTCTGACATAGAGATCCTCCATGTAGAGGCACTTCCCGTCCAACGTGGAATATGTGTAAGAATATATAGAGGGCATGCCCCGCTATTCTATCATTATGTGGCATGCTTGTAGAAGGCTTGTCAGGGTCTACGGGGATACTGTTTGGCACTGGATCATCGTCAGATGTCCATTCAGCCAGGAGCACATGGAACCATGGTCTCTCTCCAAACCCATCTCTCAAAATTTCTACAAAACAAGATCAACTGTAAGTAGCTATCTATATACGTAGCATCTTAATTTTCGGTATTGTTAGCTGTATATAGCTACCTTTTTCTCCAAGTTTGATGGAGTTTGGTTCGTTCAAATACTCAGAGAGAACCTGTGTGCCAAGTCAGTCACTAAGGAAGCTGTACTGTGGTAGAAGCTAATACCTGAACTAGCCATACAATGGATGGCACATCTTCTCTTGTTGCTGGCCTGATCTTCCACGGGGAACTGGTGGTGCTCATAGCCATCTGCATGTCCAACAACGTGCCAGGAAGCTCAGTCACAGTGCAGTTACCAGTTCCTTTGAGTTGCGATTTTTTTTTGCCACAGGTTTTGAGCTGTCACCCAAGATATCTCTTAGCGTGGAATGCGACAATCGCTTGTTGTGGCCTTGATGTTTACTTTAGAAGATGGCAGCGAATGGACATCCAGGTAGCGATAACAGTGCTCAACTATGCACACGAAGCTTGTCGCATTCTACACTACAGTGATATCTTGCATGACAAGGGCTCTATAGAAGTTGAGCTTGCTGCAGCGCCGTCTCAAGGACAAAATTTCTTGTTCATAATTTTTGATTTTAAGCACACTAAACAAAACACTCTTCATCATGGTTTAGTTTCTCCAGAAGCAAAATTGCCCAGTTCAGGCTGAATCAATCTGATTGTCAGCCATTCCTTCAGGATTTTCCCTCCGATTCTTTCATAAAGTTCTGCAGCTCTAGTGTTCCAGTCCAGCACCTGCCAGATCATCCTAGCACAGCCTTCCCTACAGGCCACCTAACAATCAGCAGTGACAGAACATCAGCAGGAATGAGTGTAAATGAATGGCGAAGGGCTGCTCACGGAAACCCAAATGTTGCATTCTTGCAGATTCTCTGTAACATGCTCACCTTTGCACACTCTTGCATAAGAGCTGTTCCAATACCACGGTCTAGAGGGCCAGGGGCAAGTTATAAAGTATTATAGACGCCAAACGGAACAGATACTTACTGCGGTACTGTTCTCTAACACAGAGATCCTCCATGTGGAGGCACTTTCCTTCCCATGTGGAATAGGTGTAGAAATACAGGGCATGCCCCACTATTCTGTCATTATGTGGCATGCTAGTAGAGGGCTTCTCAGGGTCTACGGGGATACTGTTTAGCACTGGACCATCGTCAGACGTCCATTCAGCCACCAGCACATGGAAGTACTGTTTCTCTCCAAACCCATCTCTCAACATTTCTGCAAGGGGTTCCTATGCTAAACATAACTGCTGGTTCACCAGATCTATAATTATACCTTTCTCTCCGATCTTCATAGACCTTGGTTCATTCTCATACTCGGCCAGCACCTTTTTGTGAAAGATGTATATACATAGTGATCTGCTGCATACCTTGGTATACCTGAGTAAGCCATACAATTGAGGGCACATCTTCTCTTGTTGCCGGCCTGATCTTCCATGGATGACTGCAAGCCATACCCCAAAACCTAGATCCTCACATGGTGTGTAGGGCGCTGCGCATGCGCGTACTACGTTACGTCATCGTAGTAATTCAACCAATCGGGCTCGTTGGTCCGTTCGAAATAAAAAGGGGGGAAAGTTCAAATCTTGCCATTTTCAGCTGATCCGCGACCGAGATCATCGAGAGCCCTGAGCGAGATTATGTCTTCAGACGCCAAACTGAACGACCTCATTCGCCTGAAACAGCCACCATCCGCTCCCCTGGAACGATGGCAGATGCTTCCCACTCGCCAGCAGGGAAAGGGGCCGCGGCAGGCGGACCCCTGCCACGTCCCTTCACCGCTTCGTGTCAGAAACACCGTCAACATGTCCGTAATCTCCACTCCTGACGCCCACAAGGTGGTCCTGAGGTACAAGAAAACGCCCAAAGCACACACACCCAAGACTCCCAGACTCATAGGGTGTCGGAAGACGCCCGGTACGGCGAGAAAACGGACGCCTCCCAAGTCGGCAAAGAAGAAAACTCCTGGAAGAAGTCCGTCGGGATGTCGTTTTATCCCCAACCGGGCCACCATGGACCTGGACTACAGTGCCTACTTGCTCAGGAAGAAGGAGGAATGTGGTGAGGGAGAGGAGGATGGGGAGAACAGCGACATGCTCAGTCCAACTGGCAAAGAGTGCAGACAGGCTCTCCTGAAGGCCATATCGAGGAGCAGGGGCAAAAGTGGACAGAGAAAGAATGTTCTCTCGTTTACAATCTCCACACCTTCCGTGGCTGAAGGTATGCACTTGGCCTGGTATATACTACATGACTGGAATTTCGCACAATGTAACATTGCGTGAATTTCACACCTATACTTATATGATTTTCTAACCCCTAGCCCGGTCTATTTTATCCCAAACTAGGCTCTTCGCTCAACTACACTGCGAGCATGAGCAACTCCATCAGCTCACAGCCCATTCGCAGCTCCCAGAGAAAGAGAGTTCGCAGACTCCCCACAGCTGCCGAGAAGGTTCTCGACGCTCCTGGACTAGTCGATGACTACTGTAAGCCCCTTAACCTGTACAAAGCACACTGCTGTGTGTGTAAAACTCTTCATTGTTTTGCATATACAAACAATGAGGTGTGAGGTGCACCCAGGCAGAGTTCTAGGCACATGACGAATGTGGCGCGCACTGACCTGGCCTCACTAGTACTAACATACAACATACACACAGAAGCTAATTGATGAAGTCAGGTGAGTCAGGTAACGTGGTTCCTAGAGCCCCAGATGTAGAAGGAACCTAAAAGCCAGACCACCCCTCTTGGCAGGGAGAAAGAGAATGGATGTGTTGGAAGTCTCTCTCTCTCTTTATGGCGTACCGTTTCAATAAAACTGTTCTTTTGTATGTGCTTAGGGAAAACCATCACGTTAGTGTGGCGTACATGTACAAGACTCTCTCTTTTTCTCATGCCCTCGTCACTTATTACACGCAATGCTAACCTGTTTCTCTCTCCCATGCAGACCTGAATGTGTTGGACTGGGGGAAGAACAACGTCCTGGCAATTGGTCTAGGGAGCAGTGTGTTTCTGTGGAATGCTAACAATGGATCAGTCAATCATCTGACGGACATGGGCTCCGAGGAGGAATATGTGGCTTCTCTGTCGTGGGCGGCGAATGGGAAGTACCTTGCAGTGGGCAGCTCTGACTCAGCTATTCAGGTCTGTCCATTATACACATACATAGTTGTGTAGTTAAACGTTTTGTGTGTTGTTAGGCCTTGCCTCTTGTGTGCTACCGTGTAATATGTAGGGGCCAACTTTTGAGACTGAAATTGTTCAGTCGGTCACTACTGTATGTATATTATACCTATTTATGTGTGAAATTATAGTTCATAGCATACCAGCCATAGGTACATATGTACATGTAGTTAAACTGTCCACAAACCTTTCTTCACAAATTGTTTTGGCTAGGAATTTACATGTATGGGCACCCCATATATTTTTTGTTTCCTATGTCATTAATTAAAGGGTTTTGGTTGACAAAATTTTCACTTGTTGTTTTATTCATTCACATATCTTGTTATAGCTGTGGGATGTTGCCAAAGAGAGACGCATACGAGTCATACGTAGCCACAGCGATCGCATCGGAGTCATGGCGTGGAACTCGCACACTCTAGCCAGCGGAAGTCGAGACGCCTCCATTCACAATCACGACGTTAGAATGTCCAGCCACTGCGTGGCTCAGTACGTCCACCACAAGCTGGAGGTGTGCAGTCTCAAGTGGTCCCCAGACGGCACTAAACTGGCCAGTGGAAGCAACGACAATCTGGTGTGTCTGTGGCCGTCTGGGTCGGGCATTTTGGAACCGCAGACTGTGCTAGCTGGGCACCAAGCTGCTGTAAAGGTAGGGCTACATTTCATTGTAAAATGTTATAGTTTATTGAGTTAGTGCAGCAGCATAATATACACTTTTCAATCCGTGGACATCTGTCACTTGAATATAAACCTAATGTAGGTCGACAGACTGAATCAATTCGAAAATGTGAAGGTTTACTGCTAAATATTTTCGTCACACATAGCTACTATGTACCCGATTGCTTCCATGCTGAACATGATGTGTACCCCTTATGCAGGCAGTATCGTGGTGTCCGTGGAGGTCAAACCTGCTGGCAACGGGTGGTGGTTCCAACGATCGCTGCATCAAACTGTGGAACGTGTCGTTGGGAAAGTGCGTGGAATCTATTGAGACCCAGTCACAGGTACATTTAGCACCTACACTATTCGGCTTATTGTAGAGAGAAACCAAAATTTGTTCAGAAGTCGAACTGTAAGTCACAGGAATCAAGTACTTGGCCACAACCTCCTGACAAAAGCTAGTCTTCTTCTTTCCCCTAAGTAGTGTCAGTGGTCCTAATGCCTCTGTTCTAGAAGACAGACGGTATGTACACTGATGAATATTCTATACCCTGCCCTCCCTCTATATAGGTGTCCTCTTTGGCATGGAACAGAGAAAGTAAAGAGATAATATCCTCACACGGAAACCCCAAGAATCACTTGGCGGTGTGGAAGTGCTCGACCATGTGCAAAGTCGGAGAGATCACGGGGCACCAAGGACGAATCCTGCAGATGAGTCTCAGTCCACGCAAGTCTTCTGTGGCAACTCTCAGTGCAGACGAGACTCTTCGTGTGTGGAAGTGTTTCGACCAACCGCCTGAAAAAAGTGCGGACTCGAGCAGAAAAAGCCTTAGAGAGGACAGCATCAGTGCGCTAATTAGAAATGCACCTTGACTTTTTCTGCGAAATACCTTGCTTTCTATCACTTTTTTCTCACTTTTGTGTTCTTTATCCTATACAACCACTATTTTTATGCTATTGATTTTCAATCGTGATCCGCTTCTACCGAATTATAATTATCGTTGCTTCAAAACTACATTATTCTTTTTACAGGTGTCCATCAGTTAATTAATGCAAAAGCTAATAGTTAACGTCTTATTTTATCCTTAAGCCAAGATTTTTGCCATTTGTTTGGGTTTCATTCCCCAAACGACTAAAACTGCTATCAATACTCCGATGGAGCTCAGTGCTATCACTCCTGTTGGCCAGTGAGAGCTGTGCGACGTATCTTTTCCTTCACTTGTCTTGCCAGTGGAAACGATGTTGCGTTTGTGCAAGTTTTTCTGCACTGGTTCCTCGGCCATTGTGTCAGTGTCTCTCTTTCTGCGCCTCATTCCATGCACGACTGTGACACTCTCAAGAGTACTGGCAATTCCATCGTGAACATCCACATCAATCCTTTCAACATTGATGTCGACAGCCAAGTTTGTGTATGTAATCGTCCGTAGCACAGCCTGGAATGTTTCAGGGGAGGCAGGTCCATACAGTATTAGCTGTCTTTGCTCGTGGTCGAAAGGGCTTGCAACGATTCCTGTTCCAGTTGTGTCGGCTGTCATTGACTCGAGACATTGAACAACGCAGGCTGAAAACCCAGAGGGAGCTATTTGTGGCATGACCACTAAGCCCGTCAGAAGACCAATGAAATTGGAGTCTACCCCTGTTTCAATTGGACGGGCACCAACGATGAAATCCACACCGTCAATTGTGCTTGGTCCTTCAATATCTTCTGACAGTGGTAAACCTAAGGGGGAGAGACAGAGGGACAGAAAACAATGTTTGTCTTATAGCCCTGAAAGAACATCGTGTTTTGTGTAGGCAGAACATCTTTACATACCACAAGCATGCACCATCCTGTATGCTTCCTGCCTATGATTATTCTCCTGCCAGTTCTGAAGTCTCTGCTCTATGGATGATTTTTACCCTCGGCGCGCATGCGCAGCGAGGGTACGGTAGTTAGTTGGGTCTGTGTGTCTGTCTGTCTGTCACTCTACATCTCACTTCTCGAGTGTTTGTTCGTCTCACAAAGGATATGACCTAGGGCAATGAAGGTCAGAAATTTCGAACGGTTTTCTCTGAAACTGTTCCAGCTAGAGCGCGAAAAGCCAATATGCAAAACTTACCACGGTCTGATCGATCCGCGTGCTCTGCGTACCTCGGAGGCACCAGAAGATGCAACGGTGTATCTCCCATGCTATCTAGTAGTGTAGTTAGCCTGCGTCAGACTCTGCGCTAGCTGGCAAGAGACCACGAGTAACAGCTATTAGTGGTACAGCACATGCGTTTACTTACGCGTGCGCATGCGCAGTTCGCCGAGGGTTTGCACTTCAGTGCTTTTCATTCCTACAGTTCTGAAAATCTCTGATCTATGGATTGATATTCCTAATTTTTATTTCTATCCTAAATTTTTCTATTTTTTTTTAAAATTTTTTATTAATTTCCTATATTTTTTATCCGAAATATTCCTAGTCCTATTTTCTATATTATTTTTCCTATAACTATTGATTCCTATCCTCTTTTCCTCCTAATATATTATTTATTTCTATTTTTTCCTAATTCTATCCTAATTCCCCGATTTTTTTTATTTTTTTTTTCTTATTTTTTTTTTGTTTTCTTAGATTTTTTTTTATTATTTTTATTGTCTTATTTTTTTTTTTTTTTTTCTTTATTTTTCTTTTTTATTTTTTTTATTATTTTTATTTTATTTTCTTAAAATTTTATTTTTTTTTTTTTTTTTTTTTTTTTGTTTTTTATTTTTTTTTTTTCTTTTATGATTTTTTTTGTGTTTTTTTTTTTTTTCGTTATTCTATTTTTATTTTTTTGTTTTTTATTTATTTTTTTTTATTTTTTTTTCTTATTTTTTATTATTTATTTTTTTATTTTATTTATATTTTTTCTGATTTTTATTATTTTTTATTTTTTTTTTTTTTTTTTTTTCTTATTTTTATTTTTATTAATTTGCTTAGTTTTATTTTTTGTATTTTTATTATTTTTTCTAATTATTTTTTTTTATTTATTTCTTATTTTTTGTGTTCTTATTTTTTCTTATTTTTTTTATTTCCTTTATTTTTGTTTTTTTTTTTCTTATTTCTTATTTCTTATTTGTTTTTTCTTTTTGTTTTTATTTTTTTTTTTTTTTTTTATTTTGGTTTTTGTTTTTTTTGTTATATTTGTTTTATTCTTATTTGTATTTAGTTATTTTTTAATTTTTTTTTATTTATTTTTTTTATTTTTTTTTTTTTTATTTTTTTTATTTTATTATTTAATGTTTTTATTCCATTTTTTTATTTTTTTTGTTTTTTTTTTTTTTTTTTTATTTTCCTTTATTTTTCTTATTTTTTGTTTTTTATATTTTTATATTTTTAATTTTTTTATTTGTTTATTTTTTTTTTTTTTAGTTTTTTATTTTTTTTTTTTATAGATTTCCTCATTCCTATTTTTTCCTAATTTCCTCCTATGAATTCGTCCTATTTTTAATTGTTTCCTATTTTACTATTCCTCCTATTATTGTATTTCTCTTTTATTATTTCCCTACATATTTTTTTATTGTATTCCTAATAAATTTTTTTTTTTAAAATATATTTATTTTAATAGATTCCTATTTCCTATTTCTATTTATTTTTCCTATTCCTATTTGCCTAATTCTAATTGATTTTCCTATTTTATACATTTCCTATTTCCTATCTATAATCCTATTATTTTATTAAATTTTGTTTATTAATCCTATTTTTTAATTTTATTTTTTCCTATATTCCTTCCTATTTAATTTTCCTTTCCTAAATTTGACCTATTTTGTTCCTAACTAATTTTTTTCCTATTTCCTAATTTAAATTATTTTTTTTTAATATCCTCTTTTTTTTTTTTTATTATATTTATCCTAAATCCTAATTTATTCCTATTATTTTTTTTTTTTCCTCCTAATATTCCTCCTAATCGTAATTTTTTTTTTTCTAAGTATATTCCTCATTTCCTATTTTTTATATTTTTTTCATCTAATTTTTTTATTCCTAAAATAGAAATTTAATAAATATTGTATTATCCTATTTATTTTTATCCTTCCTATCTATTTTGCGATTCCTATTTTTTACTATCCCCCCCTTATTTGATTCCTATATTAAATATATCCTATTAATTTCCTATTCCTATTCCTATCCTATTTTTGTTATTTCTCTTTCCTAGATTCCTACTCCCTCCGATTTTTTCCTCATTTTATTCCTATTTTTTTTATTTCCTATTCCTATTATCAAATAATTTTCCTATTTTTTTCCTATTTATTTATTTTTTTTTTTAATTATTATAAATTTTATTCCGACTATTTTTTTATTTTTTGTCCTCTTATCTATTTCCTAAAATTTTTTTTCCTATTTTTTTATTCCTATCCTAAATTTCCTTACTATGATTTTTTTCCTGATCCTATATTTTATATTTGTTTATTTTATTTCCTAATTTTTTAAGTTTTTAATAGTCCTATTTCCTATTCCTCAATTAATTTTTATAATTTTTTCGCGATACTTTTTTTATAATTATTCCTATTTTTTTCCTATTTATTCCTGAATATGTATAAAAATTTTTTTTTTTTTATTTTCCTATTCTAACTTTTTTCTAAATTTCCTAATTTGTCTATCCTAATTTAAGTATATTTGAATTTAATTTTATTTTTCCTATATTTATTCCTATTACCAATTTTCCTAATTGTTAGAATATTATTTTAATATCTATTTATTTTTCCATTCTATCCTATAAGTTTATCATTTTCCGAATTTTTTATTAATTGTATTTAATTTTTTTCCTTTTATAATTCCTATTTTTTTCCTATTTATTAATTATTTTTTTATTTTTTTAAATTCCTATTTTTTTTTATCCTATTTTTATTTAAATTTTTTTTCCTATTTTTCTCTAATATAGATTTTAGTCCTATTCCTAATTCCCATTATTCTATTTTTTTATTTAGTCTATAATTCCAATTAAAATTTCCTCCTAACCTACTGCCTATTCCTATTTTTTTCTACTTTTAATGTTTAATTCCTATTTTCCTATATCCTATTTTTCCTCTTTTTTTTTCCTATTCTACATAATATTTTTATTCTATTTTTTTTCCTATGTCCTATTTTTAACTATTTTTTTCCTATTTTTTTTTAATTTTAATTTTCGCTATATATTTATTATTTTATTTTTATTATTTTTCCTATCTTTCCTATTATCCTATATCCTATGTCCTATATTTCCTAGTCCTATACTATCCTACCTATTTTTTTTATTTTACAAAAATTTTTTTTTTTAACTAATTCTATCCTATTCCTATTTTTTTCCCTATTTTTTTTAAAAATTCCTATTTATTCCTATTTGTTCGCTCATTCTATTTTGAATTCCTATCTATTAAATTTTAAATTTTAATCCTATTTTTTATGAATTTAATTATTCCACGAATTATCCTATTATTTGTATTTAATTTTATCCTCCTCAATTTTTTTGTTCCCTATTCCTAAATTTTTATATATTTTTTTTGTTTTATTCCTATCCTATGTTCCCTATTAATTCCTATTCCTAATTTCCTTATTTATTTAAAATTTTATTTTTTTTTTTTATTTCCTCTCTATCCATATTAAACTATTCCTAAATTTTTTTCCGATTTTTGTCTAATTTTATAGTTTATAAATATCCTATCCTATTTTTTTTATCCTAAATTTGTTTTTTTTTTTTTAATTTTTTCCTCTTTTTCCTAATATTTTTCGAATTTCTTCCTAAATCTATTTTTCCTATTTTTCCTATTTCCTCTTTTTTCCTATTTAATTTTTTAATGATATTATTTTTTATTTTTTTTTCCTACATTTTTTTTCCTATTCCTAAATTTTATTATTTTCCTATTTCCTAATCTAAGTTAAAATTTTTTCCTATTCCTATTCCTATTTTTATTTTTTTCCATCCTATCTTTCCCTATTCCTATAATTTTTTTTTTTTTTTTTTCCTATTAATTCCTATATTTTTTATCCTAATTTCCTATTTTTATTCCTAATCATATCTATTTTTTCCTATCCTATTGCGTATTTTTTTTATTTCCTACCTATTTAATTTGTTTTTTGCCGAATATTCCAATATTTGTTTTATATTTTTTGATAATTAATGTTCTTATCCTAATTCCTCCTACATATTTTTCCCTATTATTAATTCCTATTTTTCCTCATTTTTATATCCTATTTTTGCTAACGAATATTATTTCTAATTAATTTTTGATTTCCTATTAATTATCCTAACTTTTTAATTATGTTTTTAATATTTTTTCCTATACTAATTTATTCTAAAAATTATTTTTTATTAGGGCCATATCCTAGTTTCCTATTTTTGCCTATTATTTTATTTTTTTATTTTTTCCTATTCTAATTTTTCCCCTAAATCTCATTCCTATTTCCTATTAAATTTTTGTATTTTTTTATTTTTTTTTTCCTATTTAATTTTATTTTTAAATTTTTTTTTTTTTCCTATTTCTATAATATTTTCCTATCCTATTTTTTTTATCCTATGTCTATTTTTCTTTCCCTATGATATATTTCTTAATTTTTTTCCTTATTAAATAATTTTAAAATTTATTTTTTCTATAATCCTAATTTTTTTGCCTATTATCCCTATATTTTTTTTTCCTATATTTTAAATTCCTCCTATTTTTTATGCCTATTTTCCTAATTTTATCCCTATTTCCTATATTCCTAATCAATTTTTTTTTTTCCTACAATTTTTTATTTTTTTAAT